TTCTCTTGTAACGTGCTGGCCAACATCCAAAGGTCTTGATCACAACAGAAACTGCATTTGCTTAATGTCAAAAGGAAGCAAACAATTTCTTACAGAGAATTTTAAAAGGTCAGTTTGGCTTTTTGGCCTTGTGTACAAACTTATCTTGATTAATACAAGACAAACCGCTTTGCTAGAGACTGTTTCCCTTCAAATCAATTTCAAATCAGTCATACAAAACTAAAAAGGCAGCTCATTAGGAAGATTGTAGAATCTGCGCACCTCCACCAAAGACAAATGTTGTTATTTCAGCTTGCTACTGCATTCAAGTTGTTGTTTAAGGTCCCTTAATACCAAATTTACTTTCAGAAATTAAGTGAATTAATCTTTCAGGGACTGCCTGCACAGATGCCTGCCATTTGCTTTTAAGTGGGAAAAGTGCTGGTATAGAAATGACAGACAAATACAGAGACAAGCAAAGAAATAAATGAATGAAGTAGCTTATGCATTCAATTTACCTTACCAAGTGGCCTTAAACAGACTCGCTGCATCTACGTGATTTGTAAGGACAAGCAAATTGGCTTGAACTCAGGTGACCAAGCGTTACATCCTGAGGCAGCAGTCTTGTTTTCCCATAGGGTGTACAACTTAAGAACTGAACCAGACGAGTGGGTTTAATTTCAGTGTTTTCCTAGCATTGTATTGCGCAGTAATGGTCTAAGTCTTAATTGCTATGCTTTTGCAAGTCCTTTGTTTCTATCTGTCAAATAAAAAAGCCATTTTGTTGATTATGGGTAACAACTTTTGTTCTACTCAATTGCTGATTCTAGAACAGACAGAAGTGTTGCTTTAAAATACATTGGGATGACATAATCTATACAAAGAAGCAACCCAGGCTCATTGGAAATGCATGCCTTTACATAATTTTCTGCAACACCGTTATTATGTTTCAAAAGTGAAATGTCCAGAGAGTGGCGCTAAAACAAATGTTTAATATGTGACCGTGGCACGTTTTTATTATGTTGGTACAGGCACGTATTGCAGCGTTTTTATTATGCTGCTTGCGGTAGGTATTGTGGCTGATCAGAATTCAAATATGCGAGCTGTGTTGCTAAAGGTTAATGCTCTATCGTGATGGAAATATCCCCTACACCAAAACCAACCCTAAACCTGTTAACAAATACAAAAGTAATATAAAAATGTATTCACTGATGCAACCGTGCTATTTTAACTTCCTTATACGGATTTGAGCTGTTTTGTCAAAACGTAGTTTCACGGGGTTCGTATCAGAGTTCTTCATCATCCAAGTCCAACGCAATATCACGTGAGCTACCGAGCAAACCTACTGAATTAGAAAACTCATGCATATGAAGCTGTATATGTGAGGAAAACGTTCAAAAGTATCAGTTTTCAAATCGTGCAGGATGTTACAATTGTTTTGAAGTCATAACATAATATTCTGCAAGTAATTGTGTGAAAATTAGCCTTTATTAATCAAAACTCTGTACCTGAAAATCATACTTTGTGTTAAAAGGAATAAAAGTTGTCTGCGTTTTACTGCCTCTGGTGTTCATTTCAACTGGAAACTGCAGGGAATCGTACATATAGGTACGTCTTTTCAGTTTTGCAGAAATATATGTAGAGGCACGTATTTCCAATGAGCCTATGTTGCAAAGAAGATCTCAAGGAATAACATTTCTCAAATAGACATATTTCTTGTTTAACACGATTTTAATTGCCGTCTCGAGATGAATTTCTTATGAAATCTCAGTTTCTACGAGGAGTCTCCACAGCGCAACATCCACAGTGAAATGTTCACATTCCACTAAAACTGTGACTATGTATTTTACAAATTAGCAATTTATATCTCACAATTGCAACACTTTTTCTCATAATTTCAACTTCATAGCTCACACTTCTGACTTTATTTCTCAAAGCTCTGATGTTATATATTGGGATTGCAACTTTAAATTATTGCGACTTTCTCACACAAATGTGACTGTGTTTTAGAATTGACAACTGTTCTTATAAATGCATGTTTATTTGTAAAATTGCAACTTTATATCTCACATTTGCAACTTTGATTCTCACAATTGTGACTATTTCTCATGTTTACAACTTTGTTTCTCACAATTGTGACTTTATTTCTCATGTTTACAACTATATTTCTCACAATTGCAACTTTAGAACTCACAAAGGTGACTATTCTTAAAATTGTGATATTTTGTGATTGCAACTATTTCTCACAATTGCAACTTTATTTCTCACAATTGTGGTTTTGTATCTCAGAATTGCAACTTTATTTCTCACAATCGGGACTCTCACAACTGCAACTATTTTCTGAGAATTGTGATTGCAACTTTATTTCTCAAAACTGCAACTTATTTCTCACAATTGCAACTGTGTTCTCAGAATTGTGACTATTTTTCTCCTAAATGAATAACACTTCTGAAATAGACATAATAACACGATTGTAATTGTCATCTTGAGATGAATTTCTTATGAAACCTTGGTCTCTAAGAGGAGTCATCATTGAGCAACATCCACAGTGACATTCCACTAAAATAACTTTGCTTCTGATCAGATCATTGAGCTGCCACTTTGACTATCTTTGGCTGCTACAGAAAGCACAAAACCTGACAGCAAGCCATTCTGATCGTGTGCATGATGTGCTTAAGGAAATTACACTAATGCCGTCCATTGTCCGGAGTAATTACAAATGATTCTGCTTATGTGCTGTGGTGAAACTAAAGTTAACAAAAAAGCTCCATTTAGCTTTCACTCTCAGCAGCAGCCCCCATATAAGCCAAATCAATCCAGTTGCCTTTTCTTTTTAATCAGACCCGCGAGAGCTCGTAGGGAGATGGATGTTTATATCAAATGCTCTGGTAGCCTTGGCTAACAAAGAGAGAAAGAGATTTCAAAACCTCTGCAGCTCAATTAACATTTGCAAACTTTATCTCAAACCTCAATCCATCTGTCAGAGGGAGAATCAACTATCTCAGCTACTCAGTTTCTCTCCCACATGTAGCCGCAGAGCTGGAAAGATTAATTAAAAATGTCCGTAAGTGAATGATCTTGTTGATTAATCATTGTTTGGCATTCTTTTATTCAAGTGAGTCTTGGCTGCTTTTAAATTTGGGCCATGAAGTGACTGACTATCCCAGGCTGTTAATCTTATTATTCCTGGCTACCTGTATGTAGTCTGTCCGGCGATAAACCTTTCGCTTACTTGCATGCTTGCAGCAAGTGAGTGCAATAAATCAATACTGGCGAAATCGGTCATTCATAATTCTCACAGTCGAAAAATGGTTGACTCTGAGCTGCTTTAGGTGTTGATGCAGAACAAACATGGATTTTATATTGAGACCTACCATCCAATTATTTCTAAGAACCAATTTCTCCTTGACTCTATTGATTTTGTAGTGCTAACTCTCTGCAAGGCAATTAACCAAGTAATTAAATTATGTAGTAATATTAAAGTGGTGGGCGCTTCAGGCTATATTAAACCTCCATGCCTAATTCCACAACATTGTGTGCTTGCAAAAACAATTTTTTTCTTTCTTTTAGAAAAGTGTGCTCCTAAAATATATGACAGCCTCTAACTGTTATATGACAATAAAAGCAAAATCTATGTATTCATCAATAAATAAAGTAGAAAACGGTACACTTTCACTGCTACGAAAACAACTCTATCCCAGCTAACAGAACACCACCATGCTACTTTGTTCATCCAATGGCCAACTGTTTAAGAGTTGAACAGACGAAGAGTTGACAGTCAAGGTAAAGCGTCAGTGTTAAGGGCAGCTCATTTCCAGCTCATGACTCATAAAACTACATTTTAAAAATAATCTGCCAATGTGTTCAAATGTGGCATGTGAAGAATTTGAACATCAGAGTTCCTTAACTTATTTGTAATGGGGAGAGCATGACGTGTTGTATGTAATGCTGAATGAGTTGTAACACTGTCAGATTTAACGGGCACCACCAGGAGAAACACTGAACTAAGAAAGTAAAAATTACACATCTGGCTTATGATTTGTGATCATGTTAACTGACAGTATATGGCAGAACTGATAGCATCTGAATCAGCAGGTTGTCTCATTTAATTTGATATATAACATCCACAAGCTTTTCATCTACATCTAGCAATATTGTGGCTGACCAGACAGGGAAGGTTGTAACACTTTCCAACCTATTGGCTCAAGATACACAGAATGGTACATTTGACATTAATTTGGTTAACACAAAAGTCATTTTGAATAACACACTATCTTTTCTGTTTTTAAAGTTGTTTGCCTATGGTGCCTATTTTTTAATAGATGTATTTTAATGGAATTAAATTATTACAATTTTTACCATTTTGAAGTAAACTAATAAATCCCAAGGAATTCAAAATAAAATAAGATGATGGGGATGGCAATAAAATATTTGTATTAATTTTAATAAATATATATTTTTATATTTAAAAAAAGCGATGCAAGTTCGACCACAATAAATCCATTCATAAAACGTAATGTTTTCTATTAGCGTTACAAAGATGACATAGTTTAGCAGTATATTTATAAACAGCCTTAATATGAGAATAAAGTTTTAGTTCCAGACGTTTAAACAAAATGTGTTGCAACACTTCCCGATTTCCCTGGAATTTCACCGGTCTGGTTCGACGAAACTGAAACGCTGTCGTATTTTTACATTCAGGTGCCACCGAGATGCTTTAGGCTAATGTTTTTAGGTGAAATATCATCTGCACCGCCTAAATATATGAACCATCTTTCCATCAAAGGCTCGATTTATTGTTGGTCCTTGCCCGACCGTGATAAACTGCAATGTAACGCAATGACCACAAGACCAACATGCAACTGCAAATAATGCAAGTTCTTCAAAAGAATCCATAACTATACACCGGTTCCATCTGTAGAGTAAATGCCACCGGACTTATAGACTAAAGCACCCCAGCGTGCCAGATGCCTCCCGGTACCCACCACTGCAAAAGAGCCACGGAATCAACTGCAACTTACGGGATGATGGAGAAGCTGCCTGAGAGATGCTGATGTGGCTTAAAATCCACAGCAAGAGCTTCAGTCCGGTCCCGGCGGGTGGCTCCATCTTCGACTACAGTGAGATGAGCGGAGACGCAGTTACTTTTCCTTCTCGCGCGCACTGTCCGGAAGAGCAGCTCCACAGAGCGAAGCCTCTAGATGAGCGAGACCCGCACTAACCGACGCTTCTCGGCTCTGGTACTCAGTGTCGATCAAATTCAGCCTAAGAGTCCGGCTTTTCAACAGCAAAAGACTACAGTGGAGCACTTTAATGCGGTATTTCAAGCCATGTCGAAGCGCGTGGCGCCGCGCGCTTCTGTAGCTATGTGACGCCCGTCTCGCGGAGGTCGCTGTCCAGGTGCTGAAGTTACTCCACGCAGCGCGCGCTCGTCCATATAAACACAGAACCCCTCTCTGCTCTGAGTTGGTACGTTCCACGAAACAGTGGAGTAGCCCTCGCGGGACAGGGGCCATTGCTTTGAGCGCCTTCTCATGGGTAGCAGAGAATAGATCATATTTGAATGAGAGTCGCTTTTATGTTTGTAACTAAAGCTGTTTCTGGAGGACTGATGATAATGGGCAAGATCTTGGCCGTGGAGTTCACTCAAATTACAAGGGCGGTCGTACGAGATGTAATTATAAGGAATTATTACTGCAGAAATATGCACAGAAATATATACTTGTTGTACAAACGGGTACGTTAGAGGGGTCTGTGGAAAATCGATTGAGAGAAAGAAAATGTTTAGGGCTGTCAAAGTTAAGACGACGTTCCCTTGAGATTATGTTGGTAAGACTTTACAATGAAGTCTCATTAGTAACGTATTGACTAACAACGAGCAATACGTTATAGTTATTATTAATCTTTGTTCAAATTACTATTTATTGCAACTATTTATTGTTAGTTCATGTTAGACAAAGTCGATGAAATAATATTAACAGATTGCCTAAAACGTTTGATTTTAATAATGTAATAGTAAATGCTGAAATTGACATTAATAGAAGTATTTTAATTGTTAGTTCATGTTAACAAATGGAAACTACTGTAAAGTGTTACCAATTTGTTTAATGTTTTTAACACATACCAATCTTGTTTCATTCTGTTTTTAAGAGGGTCCAGAATCTATGATTATCGACAGTCTTAGTTTTTAACAGTAAAAATAAACAAAAAAATAACTGCATTTTTTTATGAGAAAAAAATATTTGTAATTCTAAGTAGTTCTTTCCTTTCTCCTCTATGGCTCTGAATCAATATTTATTGTGATAAGGGAAATAAATAAATAACAGTATTATATTAAGCAGCTAATTCTTTCAGATCTGAGCCTTAAAAATATTTTTTTCCCCAAGTAAGCACTCACTTTTTTTCTCACCTTTTATTACCAGATTTCTATAATAAGTGCTGCAATTTATAATTCCTGTTGCAGGACAATTCATTTAATTGGTAAAAAAAATAAAGACATTTGTATTGTTTTTATTAAAGAAAGTGCATGAAAGATCCTTAATCTAAACAGAGTTGTTATATTCATAGAAAGTATTTTACTTTGTAGACTTAAAGACTTGTGATATTCATAGTTAATCATATAAATTATTATTTTAACATGAATAAAAAGTTAATTTAGATGGTATCACAAACAATTATTTTAAGTTACAAAACACTTTTAAAAATCATGTTAATCTTTTTATACTTTCCAGGGTTTTTTTTTTTTTTTTGGTTTGGTTTTTTTTGGGAAAAACATATGAATTGGATTCACAGCCTCCTGAGAATATTGCTCCTTCACTTGCTTTTTCTTCCTGTCTGGAACAAAAGTGCCCAGCAATCCTCACCTGCGTATGCTTGGATTTTTGTGTGATATTTACCCACCTGTTTGAAATGCAAACTCTCAGCAGAGTGTGAAAGAAACACCATCTGTGCAAAGGCAGAGAAGGACAGCAGATACTTTCACTTTTCTCCAGGTTCTCGTCTATCAAAAGCAGTGCTGCTGAAAATGCAACACGTCTCATCCTGTGATTTTTCCTCTATGGCTGAGCAGGTGTTTGGCGTAATCACTTCAGGATGGAGATAAACATTTGCTTTGCAGCACATCAACAAGCACAGTAGGTAAAAGAAAAACAAACTTAAAAGAACAATCTTCACCCAAAAATGAGAATAGTGTCATCAAGAACTTTCTTTCTTGTGTGGAACACAAAATGCAATGTTTATCAGAATGTCTGAGCTGCTCTCTTCCATACAATGAAATTGGATGGGGAACAAGGGCTTTCAAGCTATAAAAAGCAACATAGTAGTCCATATTCCAAGTTCTCTGAAATCTAGCTTTGTGTGAGGAATAGACTGAAATGTATGTAGTTATATACTAAACATCTTGGCCACCAAATAAGTCCATAATCATAATAACGCTTCCTCCAGTGAAAAAGTTGTCCTCTTACATAAAAATCCAACGGTTTTGGACTGTTTTTGCTTATAAACAGTGCTTGATCTGTGTATATTTCTTTCTTGATTCAGACAATACTACTTTTTCAATAGAAAAAGCAATATAATGGTTAGAGGACTCATACTTTATCCAAGAAGCAGCAATTTGAAGTTAAAATCGTCTTATAGATGGATTTGCTTCTTACACTTTTTTTTTTCTTCACAAGGCATTGATTGATGGACTGGAGTCATATGGATGACTTGTGAATTATTATGATGTTTTATCAGCTGTTTGGACTCTCATTCTGACGGCACCCATTCACTGCAGAGGATCCATCAGTGAAGAAGTGATGTAATGCTGACTTTTTCCAAATCTGTTCCAAAGAAGAAACAAACTCATCTTGGATGACCTGACGGTGAGTAAATTCTCAGCCAATTTTCATTTTTAGGTCAATTATTTATTTTAATTTTATGAGTAAACATCCATGCACTACATTTTAGACCATCTCGTGTTGCAAAACAAGCAATTTTAGTTACATGTCAGACTATAATTAATCCTGCAATAAAAACCTAATGCACCCATCTTGAAACTATATTACTGTATATGAAAGTTACATTTATGAAAATCAATAATACATCTGTTGGGTAAGACTAGGAAACGCACATCAAAGAGCATAACAAAACAACTTATAGTTAATAAATTTTAGATCAAGGAATACAATACAAACTCTTTGAAACATCAAACTAATGCTATATTGATAGTAATATCATTAAGAACTAATTTTCAAAGACTTACATTTTCAATTACCACCTTTAGCTCACAAATACAAGGTATATTTAATAGTCTAGATTCCTTTTGATCCTTTCTGGTCTTCCACTAGACAATGTGCCAACATATGTCATCCTTTCCTTCTAATAATCAAATTCTAGCATTATTTCTCTTGTATTCATAATGGATTACCTCATCTTTAGAGGTCAACAGTTCATTATATTCAAATGAGAGGCCTCATATAAATCAGTGGAACCGAGAATGAAATCAGATTTCGAGGGTAGAAACGCTAATGTCATGGAATTATGAATCCTGAAAAGACTGACTCTTTGTGACCTATGAGCTGTGCAGATGTCTCTGAAAAATGGAATTTCCTGAATTGCTGTGGTGAGCATATTCATTTAGCTGTTTGAGGGAATAATTGGTTCCTGAAATATTGCATAGAAATAATTAACCAAGGGAACCAGGGGAAAGGAGACCAAGAAAAAATGTTCGATGATAGGCATCCTAATACCTCATCTCAGAGCTCAATAGTCTCTCAATGAATGAATTGCATATTTCCTACTGCAGAACAGACTTTACATAATAAAATCAACATTGATCCAAGTTAATGGTGTACAGCTCTCGCGATCCCATGATACATAGCTATTGTTTACAGCTATTTCTCTATAATTGAAAATACAGTAACTGGCAAGATGGTAAAATAGACTTGCATGACTAGGTGTCCAACATCAGGAGCTAAACCCATGGCAAATATACTGTGGGTTATATTATATATACATAACCCCCTTTACAAATACATGTTGGTTCTCATTTTGTCCACAACGGACTGATATGTTTGTCAAAAGTACGTACAATTCAAACAACCAATTCAATTATCTCACAAATCGGAAATTGCAAGAAAAAAAGGTTGTGAGATATAAACTTTTCTGAATTTTTTTCTCACAATTCCATGTTTACATCTTGTAATTCAGATTTTTTTTCACCACCAAAAAAGAAAAGAAAAAAGTAATTTAACATTTTTCTCAGAACTGCAAGTTTATATCTCACATTTCTGAGTTTATATCTCATAATTCAGAGTTTATATCTCACATTTCTGAGTTTATATCTTGTAATTCAGAGTTTATATCTTGCAAGTTTGAGTTTATATCTTGTAATTTTTATCTCCAGTTTATATTTAGAGTTTCAAACTCTTAAATATTTAAATATTACTACAATATACTGACATGAGATGGCAAACTGCACTCGCCTTTTTTAGCGCTGCATACTCATTTTCTGTGGCTGCACAAAGTTCAGCACTCAAGTTGAGAACGAAGTTCTTGGGTTGCGTCACTCACTTGCTGTATAAATCTGGTTTACAGCCATTGCATAACCACTACAAGTATTTTGGTCTTAACGAAACGGAAGCTGATTAAAAATGTACACAAAATCTACTGTACAACTCACCTTAACTCTCAAATGTTGTCTTTCTATATATATTTTGGTCATGTGTCTATTCAGAATGACTTATGAGCAGCAACCATTTTATTATGGCTATGTCATTTACGTAGGTCTCCCTTGCCAAACAGGAGTTGATTTTCATCCCATACTTCAAAATGCTATAGAGCAAGAACAAAGAAAAATCCCAAAAATGAAAAAAGGCACAAAATAAGAACCGGGTTCATGTGGAAAACCATTCAGGGTTATAGCTCAACAACAGCCAGTACCTATCACACCCCTGACATCCTTCGATGTACCAATAGACCTCAGACAACAATGAACATACTGTACATTCTTCTTTAAGACTTCAAAAGCTTTGAATGACATTGGGAACTTGTGAGGTTATGGACATCCCTCCCTTTGATATCAGGTCAAGATTTTCCCCTCTGCTGTTCATGTAATCTCAGAAATATGGGAAGGCCAACAGGGCTGACATGAAAGATTTTCTTTTTCAAGTTTTGACTGCTTAAACATTTTTTTCTCTCCTTCAGAGACTTTAGTAGTCAAGTCAAACTAAAACTTTTGAGAGTTCCTTCTGAACTGCATGTATTTTCCACACCTGAAAAACTTCAGTTGATATAGTATTTTTGCCAGATGACAGAAGTCATTTGTTGGTTAACTGTAAATATAGATTATTTCCTGCTATTTTTCACATGTCCTGCACAGGAGCACGTGCTTTGGATTACTTTGCTTC